TTCAATCTTTTTCCTGGCAAAGTCATAGAGACAAGTTCTGCAAATTAAACAGGCACCAGTTTGACCATCTACCTACATAATCAGAGCAGGAGAGACCAATCAGATACACATTCAGGTATCAGTACCCTGTCACTATATACGTGCTTAAAAAGCAAGCAAAAAACCCCAAACAAACCTCTCCTGACCAGACTCTTCAGAGACAGAGTTCTATTGAATCCAGAAGTCTGCTTTTATGATACTCAGGGAATCACTGTCCAAAGTAAGCAAGAGCAAAGGTATCCCTTTTTCATGCTTTTACAAGGTGTAACAGGAGAGGGGACTTTTAATTAGGTGTAGGACAGTCATCAGTAGCTGCTGTGGGAAATGTGACTTAAGTGATGCCAGGCATCATTCACTGTGGGTCACCATCCCTCAATATTCAGCTTTCCATTTCTAGTTTTTCATTTCCTAGACTGCATTCCCACATAATTCATTATTTAAGAAGCACTCACACAGGGACTTCAGCGTCTCCTTGGGTTAGTAGATTGTTGTAAATTTCATGTCAGATCGGATAGGAATGTCCTAGAAATATCTGATACTATTTTATGGTGGTATACACAGTCTCTGAATATCCTTTGGGCCAGACTATTTGAACTCTGTGGCTCTTGAAAAGAGTCTTAAGCAGATTGGGATATCCATCATAGTGAGTCTTCCCAAGAGTATTTTTGGAGAAAATTCTTTTGAAGTTAGTATTTATTTCCTAGATAAAATCTGAAATTCTTCAGGAATGGATGAGTCCTAAGCTTGGGACTCATTTCGTGAGTAGCTTGTGACCTGAAGGTTGTGCAGGGTGCTAGCAACTAAACTGAAGAGAAATGACATCTCATGAAAATTATTGGGAAATTTAATACTGATATTTCATGGTCTCAGGTTAGTAGTTTAAGTTAAAGAACTTTGAAGAAAAGAAATTAAGAAATTACTGCAAGAATATTGTTTAACCTTTTGGCTGGACAGTGTCGCAGTGACATCAAAAGTGAGATGACAATACTCCTAGTTTTGGAGAAGATGAATTTTATTTTTATTTCATATTTTTCTCTCAGTTTGAGAGGAGTCTGTGTTATCTGAGATTCTCAGGATAATTTTAGTCCTTTAAAATCAGTTATATCTATGCAAGTACATGAGTGGAAAAGTTCTGGCCAAATTTGAACTGGATTTGCTAACTGTTGAAAGAAACATGGGAAGAAAAGATGTTGACAGATGAGCTCTGGTGGATTGAGCTGAACCAGTTTTTTTACTGCTACCAATGCTAGCTGTCAGTCTTGCTGTTCTGTTGCAGGTGATTTTCCTCCTTGCACATGTGGCACAAAGCTATTTAAGCTAAAAATGGACTGTGAACATGGCTTTCAGATTATGTGCAGGTTAGCTGCCTCTATCCTAGATGGGAATGCAAGCTCTTCATTTTAGAGCTGCAGCAGATGGGTTTATTTGAGCCCCCTGTCCTTTTCACAAGAGCTGTCGTGTTAGGCTCTTACTGAATTACATTTTGCTATCAGAGAAATGGAAACCTTTTTTCAGTCAGTCTAGGTGGTAAAACTAGAATTCTCTTTGCTCTCAGTGCAGCATGCAGAATCATGATTTCATGCAGGTTATTTTACTTGATTCCTGCTGGGAGGTAGGATCACACCGAATTTTGCCAGCTGTAGCATTCAGGTGGACCATTGTGTCACTTTGTGGAACATTCATAACTAGAATGGTGTAGCAATTTGTCCTAAATTCATGCCATTAAAACTTGTGGCATATTTTCAGTAACACAGAATCACAGAATATTCTGACTTGGGACTCAGAAGCATCATAGAGTGCCACTCTTAAGAGAACAGCCATACAGGGATCAAACCTACAGCCTGGGCATTATTATCATCATGCTCTAATCAACCAAGCTAATCTCAGTGGTCATGAGGTATTTTGCCTTGCTGCAAGTATATGTCTTGCTTTTCTTACTTCTAGATGACTTCCTCAGGTAAAGTTACACTGCTTAGGTGCTGTGATCTTGTTTGCTTATTCTGGAGGTAGGACTGAGTTTCATATGAGATATCTCACTTGTCACTAAAACAAACGAATCCTTTGACTTACTGCTGCAGTAAAATCCATTCATACCCTTGTCAGGTGAGTTTTAGTCTGAAATTTTGAAAAAATCAGTCTTTAATTTTAGAGATTTCTTAATATTGCTGAAGCCTTTCTGAACGCTGAAGTCTGTTGGCTATCTTCAGGAACTGTTGAAGCACTTCAGATGTTTTGATTCACTGAGAAAACTGGAGCACGAAGTTTCCAACCGGAGAAAGTGATTTGGGCTGGAGAAGGGTAATTCATTATAGTAGCATCAACATTCCATTGACAATGAAAATTTGGGAAGAAGTGTAATGTAGTACCTTCCTAGAGTAGTGGGAAGCCAGACGTATGCTGAGGTGAGAAAAGCAAGACTAAGAAATAAACCCTGAGAGCAGTTCTAATGTTTAGAAAACTACTGAAGCTGACCTGATCTGCCACTGTTGGGGTCCGGTACATTGATGCTCGCCAGGGCATTCCATGATGTCTGAGTACATTACTATCCAAGACACTTTGTCATATACTAATTTGCAAAAGTTCCTTCAAATGTCATACTTATAGATCCCTTCTCCTTTATTTTTTATTTCTAACGATACATCATAAGAGGTGAGGAACCGAAACTGTTATTGAACAGAACAGAGGGCTGCTGCCCTTCTAACTCTCCTGGTGGTTTCTGCCCATTATGTTGTGCCAACTCTGCTGTAATGGGGAAGACCCTGTGTTTATGACTTTAGGGGGTGCACTTTAGTTTTCATTATGTTTAACTCAGTGAATTGTTTTGCCTGGTGGATTCACGCATCTGTCTGTGCATGCCATCTCAAAGGAGATGGAAGGAGTGCAGACGATGGTGGAATAGGGATGGCATTAAATCCATCTCAAAAGAGATGGGAGGAGCACGATGGAGTAGGGATAACATTAAATTAGCATTAACTTGAATTGGTTTATGCAGTTGAGAAGTGGTTTATTTACTTAAGTCAGAGAAACATTGATGAATGGTAGGGACTTTGGAAAACACATATTGAACTTTTTCTTCTCTCAGCGTTAAGGCTTGACAATGTCTTGCAGTCCACTTCCAAGATGCCCATAGAAAAACAAAACAAGTAATTTTTAGTAGTGTTGATTTCTCTTCAGTTTTAATGGCATTATTTTAGTTGTTAATGTTGGGATTTCTGTTGCCTTTCCTCTGGGTGTAGAACAAGTTACAAATCTTAGCTAATTGTCTGGTTGTATATATTTTGTTGTATCTTTTGGGCTTGTGCTTTCTTGAGTTTAGTCCTTACTTCCTCATCTTCAAACATTACCTTGTGCGTTGTTTCTGACTTGTTTTAAAGGGTGTTTTTGAGAAACTTTCAAAACTTGGGCTGAGAGAGTAGCATAGTGCCATAGCATGACAGGGAAGGTTGGAAGAATTCTTTGTAGCTTTTTACCCATTAAATGCACTTGTGTTTCCACACAAATGTAAACACTACTTTAATTTTTGAAGTTTGTCATCTCTGTTTTGAATTTCAGACTTATTTACTTTTAATAGTTCAAGGATCTTTCTGAAAATGTAGATTTGTCACAATTGGAATTCTATAAGGATAGATCTGTTAGATATGGTAGAGATTTGATTTATAGATAAGGCAGTCAGAATAATTATAGTGTAAAAGTCAGCATGATACATTACATCATGTCCAATTCACAGCATTATTTAGAATCCTTCACCTAAAATGAGTAGCTAATGCAGTGTTTCAGCAAGTCTATATATTTGTCTAAAATGGTCTGGTTTAATAGTGTCTTCATATATCATACTATAACATACTGTATTAGTGCAAGCTATGCCTTAATTGTGCTGAATGCTGTATATCACATTGATGATGGACTCTGCCTTTTGAGATCCATCAGTCCTAGGTGATACACAAATAGAAAATACTTGTGAAGGCCAGTGGCCATGTTTGGACTCAGAATTGTGCTGCCAGGTCTGCTCTCATGTTTCTGAGCAGTCAGTAAGCTTTTGGTGGGTCAGATTAGTGCGTTGCACATGATTAGCTTGGAAGTTATCTCACTTGTGAATTTCTTCTAGTAGGGGTGAGCAGAGCAGACAGTAGCTGCCATATAGGGCTTAGGTTGGCTAATGTGAAGTCTAGAAAATGAAGTAATTTTGCCTAAAGGACAAAGCAGACAAAGATAATCCAGAGAGCATGCCATAAAATTCTGTTCTTTCCCACATCAATCTTGTGAATCACCCTGCACTTTGCTCTCCCAGTGAAATGCAAGGAAAAGTGTTCCATGATCCAGGTGTATGGCGAGAAAAGTACAGGGAGGAGTCGAGGACTGCAGGCTCAATGATGAGTGAAAACAAACAAGGCAGCTGCTCTGACCAGCACTCTGTCAGAGGGAAAGCTGGAATCACACTCTCAGCTTGCTAAGGCCTGCAGTGCAATCTTGTAAATAATAAGGAATTGATTTAAATTATGAAATAATATGGAAAAGAGGATAAATCAGATATGCATCCTCTTAACAACCACAATTTTTCTCATGATTTGTATTTTAGTATTTAGGAAGCTAAGCAAGCTGACTTAAAAAGTGCTATGCTGTATTTTCTATTTCTGCATGTCTGGCTTTCCTGAGTTGCATCATCACTGTATTTAAATTTGCTTGGTGTTTTTTGCTGATGAAAATACATAGCATAAGTAGCCCAGTTCTTTGCAGATATGAACACCTTAAGCATTGGGGTTTTTGTAACTGTTACATTTTCCCTTTTCTGTTTTTCTTTTTTGTCTGATGTATTTGCTTTGATGTGATGGCATTCTTTTCAGCTTGGCATTTAGACAAAGGTTTCTGATGTTTTCTTGCCATTGTGTGTCATAGCTAGCTTTTAACATTTCACATCAAATTTAGCCTGACTTTTTTGTTGATTTTGTTCTGGTTTTCTACAGTGGACAGGCCAAAATCCCAGCAAATCAGAACTTCTGGTACCATAAGGCGAACTTCTTCTTTGGACACAATAACAGGACCTTACCTCACAGGACAGTGGCCACGTGATCCCCATGTACACTACCCTTCATGTATGAAAGATAAATCTACTCAGGTAAAAGCAGTAAAACAAGAAAACAGAGATGTTTCATATAATTGATGTCTACTCAATTTAATTGTGGAGAAATGTGGATTCACTTAATTTTATTAGAAATATGAAATCCTAAAATAAGTTACAGTAGCTTTTTTTAATCTTTACCAATGCAGTAACATTGTATGTGAGGATAATATTTTTATGGTTTTAGAAAACAGTTGTTAAAAATAATTTTCTCAATGTGGGCAGATCTATTGAGGCTAAATAAGCAGATACCAATCTCAGCCTTGTATCTGGTTTATTTTAAAGCTGCTATGTGCAAAATTCTGCTGAGTGTTATTTAAGAAAAAGCATCCATGTAACAGTGGCTGACAAACTAAAAGATTTTACTAAATCATGGTAATAAATCTGTCAGTCTCAAAAACTGTGTGTTTGTGTGTGTGTGGGACTGAGGGAAGGCCACTGAGGTTATTCATGGCCGGATACTCTTGTGATAGCCTTGGATTCTCTTCAGGGCTCTGTCCTTAGCAGGACCCTCTGGCAGGTAGGTTGCTGGGGCATTCTGCTGCTCCAGTGCTCTTTGGCTAGAAAGGTGAATGTTCTTTCTTGTCTGCTTCTTCCTTGTGCTGGAGTTGTTGCCTGCAAAGATGATCACTATCAGATTAAAAATACATAATTCTAACCACCCCTCCCCAGTTATTATCAAAGGAGCTGCATTCTTTTTTGCAGCAGTACTTTTGAGGTTTGGAATAAGCTATCTGAGTTTGTCTTCCAAACTAAATTGGAAACGAGAAGAAACTAGCTATCTTTAGTTCTAGTTTCGATCTAACAGGCCACGTAGGTTTGGTTTGTTAAATCAGTTATTTATCTCTTGTGCCACGCACGATTCTGATCCATAGTTATCATGGGTCTTGAAATAGATTCTATGAATCTAGTCTTTTGTGCAATACTGAGTTTCTCAGGACAAGTTAGAATGTATATAGAAGTTTCCTCATCTCTAAAATATGGTGTTGTGTGGCACAGGAAGCCCTTTGATGGGGTAAAGATAAGTACAGAATGCTTAGAAAAGAAAAAAAAAGGGTCTGTCTGTTTCAGAAATCTTACTTAATGAATTTGAGAAACTGATGATTAAAATGCTCCAAGAAAATTTTTAGAAACTGTAATGCGGAACCTTTGGAAAAAGCTGTCTTCATGTCCTGCTCATTTTGAAATGAGACAGTAAGTTTTAGCCAAAAAACAGCAGTCATATTTACTGTCACAAAAGATCTTCTTAAAAAGCTCTTAATCCTGGATTTATTTTCAAGATGCCTTCTTTTCACAATACTATGACTTTAAAGTCTTTCTGTTTTGAAAGCTTTGTAGTTACTGTATTTCTCAACCTCACTCTTAAAATACATATCCATATCAGTCTTTACAAATACCCTTATGAATAGAAAATTTAGAATATTTAAACATTCAGAAACAAACATTTTCACTAGTTACAGAAAAGATAAACAAACTGTTCTATAAATATTTCAACTCCAAGTATTTGGCAGTAAAATTGCTTTCCTAGTGAGCTCAAGTAAGTGTTCAGGTTATGTGTATGTTTGACTGCCTCCCTTTGCCTCATTCAGAAACTAAAACTGAAATTTTACTGTTTCGGCATAATCAAGTATAAAAGAGAGGAAAAGCATACTGTTGTCATTACAAAATGAAGCATTATTTCAAAGGGGTAGGAGCAGGTAGATGTCAAGGTTTGCATTTGTGGATATTTTCCAGCATGGAATTCTATTAGCTGTCTTTTTATTCAAATTGTGCCAGACTCAACCATTTATCAGTGCTTAAGTTGAGTCACTACTTGGGACTATGAATATGTAAAATGGAACAAGCATATTGATATGCACAGTGATTTCCAGCTGGAGGGCTTTTTTTATTTGGTGGTTTGGTGGTTTTTTTTGGTTTTATTTTTTGGATTTTTTTTGGGTTGGTTGGGTTTTTTGTTTTTGGGATTTTTTTGGGTGGGTTTTTTTTGTTTTTGTTTTTGTTTGTTTGTTTGTTTTTGGTTTTTTTTCCAAATAAAATGCTCACTAGGGAGGCTGTAGATGATCATAAAACATTGTCTTACATTTTGGTGTGTGTCTGGATTTTTGTTGTTTGAGCTCTGTGTAGTTTGAAGTATATCTAATTTCAAGACCTGAGGATGAGTTCCAAGTTGTTGATAGGATGCATGCATAGCAAATTAAGTTAAATAAAAAGAAGTTGATGAAAATCAATAAACCATTTTTCTGTGTGAGCACGTTTCATTGGAGAATAAGTTATCTCTTGTTTTACTTCTAAATTCAAGAACAATGTTGTCAGTATAACTACATTGTAGGTGGAATAATTATTTCTCTTTCAAGGGTATATTTTGTTCCTAATTAAATGTTAACCTAAAATCCAAATTTTGTTCAGTTTTGTTAAGGTGGTGATTATGTCTGTTCCAGCTTTCTTAGAATTCTTGTTTTTTTAAAGAAGAGAGAGTTTCTGGTCTTCATGGTGATCAGATGAGCCTTTAATGAGCTTTATTCCAAGTCCTTGTTTCCACTTAAATTCTTTCAGCTTGTATAGTACTCACGAATGAAATGTTTCTTCATAATAATAGAAGGGAGGGAACAGAATTCTGCTTGGTTTAGTTTGTCATATCTTGGAGAATAGGAACCACAGTTCATATTTCTGTGTCTCTCTCACTTGCCTCAAGTGTTTTGACTGAAAGTACAGAAGAGAAGTGGTTGTTTGCTTTTGGAAAAATGCACTGTAACACTGCATTGTGGTATTGTACAATTCAGCATTTCTCAGAATTCTGTGTGTATGTTCGTGCGTCTATATGTGCATATACATGCAACTGGCTGATCTTTAAGGAGCAGCACATTTTGGATAACCAGAGGTGTGCAATTTTATTTAGTAGTGTTTTAAGTATTTCAGAAATGCAGGTAAACTTCTTATTATAAGAAGTTACTTGTGTTGATATACTTTTTGATCTCCTTCTGAGTTCCTCCATTGTCCTACTTTCCTTTCCTTATGTAAAATCTGAACTTTTCATTAAGGCCATTTAAAACTCAGTATGATTTCTTCCCCCATTTTTCTGTCTCTTTTGGGAGCACTGATGGAACAATTTTGTACACCACTTCTTTATGCTTCATCACTGAAGTATTTCCCCCTTCATAGTGTAAAGAACAACTCAATGTTGAAATGGCTGTCTAACCTTGGAATCTTCAGAAACATTTGGATAATTGTCAGAATTAATAAATACAATTTTTTGGCAGTAGCTATGTAATTTAAAAGATATTTATAAAATTAAAAAAAGAGATTAAAAAGAAACATGATATTCATGTCATAACAAAAATATAGTCAGTTAAAGTTTGTCATGGAGTCTTTCTCAATCTAAATAATAAAAAGAAGTGAACAAATGGCCTAGTGGCATTTTATTATCCAGTGATTTCCAGTTGATGACTTAGGCACATCCAGTAATATTGGAATCCAGTTTTTCTCATTGTATATGGCAATTAGGTATGGAACAAATGAAACTGAAGAAAGTTTGCAAAATGCCTTTCAGAATTTTTATTTCTCTCTAACCTAGAGAATAATGCAGAGTTTTTAGGCTAAAATATGTTTTTCTTATGGGTAGATCAAGGCTTTAATGTAGCTAGCTGTCATTAGGCACTTTTTTTTTCTTCTGGGTAAATTTTTTTTTTCTGTAATATTAAGAGACATAAACAAAGAGGCTCAATTCCATGAAGCTTTTTTACTGGTGTATTAGTTATAATTGATTTTTGTGGGATATTTTAATGATGTATATTGGCAGAAAGGACAGGGAATAAGATATGTCACAGAGCTGTGAATTTGTCATTCTGACTTAACCTGTCTGATGTTTAAGAGTGATCATCTGCAGTCAAATTGACTTCTAACTAGGCAATTTCTCTTTGTAAAGTTTCTAGATGGCCTTTGAATGCTTTAGAAATACCTGAAAACACATCAGTTTTTATCTTCTAGTGCTGCCATTGGGTTTCTTTTGAATGCGGGAGTTTTTCAAAAACATGTTGCTTCCCCTGTAAAGCATAGACATATGTAGATATTCCAGAGTGCAGGCTGGATGTAGTAATTGGACTGAAAGGCTAGCAATAAATATGAGATACTTAAGGTAACACAGTATTATTTTAGGTTTAGGTAGCTTGGTATGCTATGCAGTCATTCTGATCTAAGTGGAAAGAATGTAGGTGTATGTCCCTGGCATGGATGGAAAAGCAAGGCAGGGTTACCAAATGTGTTGGAAGAAGAGCTGATCTCTACCAGGCTGGGTGAATCAGAACTATGGTAATTGTGATTTACATGAAGGCTGAAGAGAAAAAACAGATGTGGCATTCTGAGCATGTCTGTTCCATGTGTCAGCTGAAATGGACCACAAATCTTATCATCTTGAAAACAAGGGATCTGTGTCTTGTAGCTGCAGCATGCATTATCCAGTGTTTTCAATGATCTCCCCCTAAAATCTCAGCTTCTTAGTGTGGCCTTGCAGGACTAATCCTTTGTCGTGAAATTCAGTGCATCACTTCTGTGATGCTCTGAAATGTTACCAGTTTCAGAGATAGTGCCTGACATCTCTTACTGTGGGAGGTACTCTCACCCTCTCTCTGACTTGAAGTGCAGCAACTGTGGTTTTGTTTGTGGTTCAGAAATATTTCTTCTAATACAATTCTGAATTACATTCTGGCTTTAATGTTATTTTTTTCATATGTTTAACACTTCAGGAGCACACTTGCAGCTTCAAATGAAGGCTTCCATTGATAAGCTTGTTTTGTGGAAGTTGTAAATAAGATGAGAAAACAATTTCCGTGAAATGTGACAGATTGTGGGTGCTACACACCCCCATCTTATTTGTGATCTAAATGACAGCATATAAGTGAGATATGAGGTGTTCATACATAAGCTAACCTTAGAAAAGCAGAATTTCTGTTTGAATACAAGTCTGGGGTGCTTCTTAAAAGCTTTTCCTTGAATACAAAGATTTGTTGTTAGAAACTCAAAATTATTCTTCATTTAATGTGCATTACAGCATAGTGCAAGCAGCAATTTCCAGGGTTTGAAGAAGACTACCTTGTAATAATATTCTAGTAACCACTTATGTTGTATTATTTTTGTAAAGCTTTTTCTTTTTTAAATTTTCCCCTAAATAGTCCATAAATGTTACACTATCTGACTTCAGTACTGTGCTAGAAGCACCATACAATGTTTGTAATCTAATAGTGCAGGTAAAATGGGGTTCACAGATAGTCTGCCCCCTGCATACTGTGTATGTATCCTTTGCAGGTTGTGTCTTGACTCATTTTACCAGGGGCTGAAAGCATCCATGTAGTGCTTGTCTCAAGGGGGATGCTATTTCAGTGGAAGAGAATGTCAAAGCATTCTTGAACAAGTACAAAATTTAGTATTAAGTGAATAGATATTTTCTGATTTTTATTTTTGATTTCTGAGTAGATCCTCTGTACTATAAGGATTCCCACCTCTCTCTCCTAGCAGTCAGTGGTGGTGTTGATGAAGGTCTTTAGGGGTTGATCTTATTTTGTGTTTTGTTCTTGCTATCTGGATCAATATCTGTTTATTAAAAATACAGTCAGGCTTGTGTGTTCTACATATTTGTTTTGGTTTTTAACTGTTTACTTCTCTGTATTGAGAAAGTCAGTTTGGCTTTTTAGATTCTTGATACCTTTTCAGTTTATTAAGCTGTAGTTGAAAGGATATGATCACTTATAGTGATCCCTGGTACACCCTTGTGCACTGCAGGTAAGTACTTAGGCCCCCAAACTGCCTGGTTCTGCTTCATCCTGGTGTTCCCCAAATGGTGGAGCAGTGCTGTATTCAGAAGACACTCTTTAGAAGATAAATTTTCTTGGAATTGCCTTTTTATTGCTGGTGTCATGTGAGGATATGGTTCCAGCTGTACTTGGGAAATAGTAAAATATTGAAAGAGCAATTTAAATTGCAAAGTAAATTGTAACAGATTGTGAAAGCCTCTGATTTTAAAAAAGTAAAGAATTTTCCCCATTTTTACTAGTTTAGTAGGAATCTGCAAGCTACTTCAATGTTTTTTAAAAAAACAACATTTGAACCCAACAGAAGGTCTTCGGCACAAATTTCAGGGAGATGAATCTGCAAAACCAAGTAATTATTTAGAAGGTGGCTCTGTTAAAATGCAGAGCAAGCAGATGGACACACACACAGGTAGCACATGCATATGGCAGAGGCTCTGCTTTGGGTCAGGAGAGTTAAGTGCTGCCTGGCTCTGAGGGTCTGCCTTATCTTTCACGTAGTTTAAGTAGCTGCTTTAACTTTTCACATTTGATTTTATTCTTTTTTTTCATAACGACATTATCTTCTGGTTTCTTCCCCAGACCCAAACAGAAGTGGGTATTTCATAACAAGACCATGTAATAAGTACACAGAACCCTTAACTTTTCATATAGGGATTTACTTTTTCAGTCATGAAAAAAACTTCAAGACTGACTTTTTCCATTTGGTTTTCTAGTCACCCACACAGCTTGCTGGGTCTTTGGTTGAAATATTACTGGTGGTGTAAAAATAACAGAGAAAAAGTCCCACCAAAACCATGGAAAGTGCAGGGGTGGCAGAAAACACAGGAGGGTTTTGTAGGCCTGTGCACGCAGAGGCAGAGCAGATGAAGTGTTAGCACTGATGGGTTAGGTGCTGCGCTGTAGGCTCTATAACACCATGGCAGTGTGGTGGTTGTGGAGGTGCAGCCCATGCTCTGAAGTTACAGTTCTGAGCTTGATAGTGCCATGGCTGGCCTGGCCCTAGGGCTGCTCCCAGCTCCCCTTGCAGGGCAGGGGCCAGCTGAAGGGCTTGGTTTGATGGTGTTCTCCGGAGTGGTGCCCAGCCTCCTCCCTCAGCCAAACAAAGAGTCTCTGGCATCCCTGTGGGTACCACAGAAGCTTCCAGATCCTAGATGGGAAGCAAGAGTAAGGGAAGCTGTGGAGGAGCTGGGTTTCCATGCATGAGAACAAGGCCCACAGGCATGTGGATCCTATATCCTATTTGTCTTGTGGGCTGGGGTTTTTTTCTCCCTAGAAGTGTTAGCAGTGGTCCCCTCCCTTAAAAACCCCATGGACAAATTGTTATTTTCAGTTTTATTTCTTGTGCGCTTACTGTGAAAGACTCAGCTAATACTAGTAGGAGTTGTCAGGGAAAAAAATGCCAACTTAAACAGATTTATATTTATGTGCCTGTAGCACTGAGTTTCATATAGTTCATATCCCAAACTCTTCCTGAATTTTAGATGTTTCCATTGTTCGTGTGACTCTCTTGTTCAGGAATTCTGGTGGATAACCTCAATTTTCATTATAGCCTTGTGGCAAATACGCATAGTGGTTGAGAGTTTGGGCTTTCTGATGCTTCTCAGTCTTTGGGGTTTAATTTTAGCTCCTACATTTAAGGACAGTCACCAGACTTGCAGACTTTGAGATATGGCTGGAAAAGGCCTGCTTGTTACTGTGCTGCTCATGGAAGTTGGTGCCAGAAGTAATAAATGGTGTATAAAACTCTTATCTAGTCAGAGTTAGCAAGAAGGGATTGGTTCTGTGGTCCAGTGGTTGAGGAAGACAGGTAGGAGAAGTGAATCCTGGCTTGAGTTTGTTCTACAGTATTTTTAATGTTGTGGATTTCTAAAAACTATCCATTAAGTGAAATGTAGACATGGATGCCAAAGCACAGTGGGAGCAGCCAGGTAAGATTTTTTTGTCAGGCCTCTGATTCCTTCTTCAGTAATGTGCATTATTGTCATCCTTTGTAAGTGCAGGTTTACAAAGCTTTGTTTTCTATATTGCTTTTTATTTATTGAGATTATTAGTGCTGCATATTGGGTTCTAAAATTTATTCACATAACTGACACTGCCTAAAGAGTAAGGCAGTAATTTGTGCCAGAAGTTTTTCTCACCTGGAGGACTCAGTACAGCATATTTTCTTTTCTTTTCCCTTGTAGACACCCAGCTGTTGGGCTGAGGAGGGAGCAGAAAAGAGATCCCACCAGCGCTCGGCATCGTGGGGAAGTGCTGATCAGCTGAAAGAGGTGAGAAGTTTTGCACAGTGGAGCCTTTCAAGATTTGATAAGCCCAAGACATTTTCTTAAACCCTATCTGGAGTCCAGGAAACTGCACCCTTTCCCTCTCCTCTTTTGCTTTTGAAACAGGTTTTACCCCCAGTCTAAGAGTTGTTTGAAGAGTGATTGTTATTTTATGCTTGTTGGACTTCCTCCCTTAATACTATGAAGTGTTGATTGTGAAAGAGTGGCCAGAGTTAGCCTTGAGGAACCAGCTTCTTTTTCAATGTTAGTTAGCTTTCTGACCTTTAACACTGCTCTCCTGGAAGAAGCAAGTGTCAGGTGGTATGTTCACATATCCTTGCTCAGAAATTTTGTTCAAATTTTAGGTTGGAGATGGAGAGGACACCACTTCCACAAAAAAAGTGTTGATACAGTAATGGTATGAGTACTTGAACTGGTCTTTAATCATAAATATTTTGCTGTAGACAATTGCAACTAGAAAGAGTCTACAAAAAGTGGATTTGCATGATGAGAAAGTTGATACGGTAAAATGGTCTCCAGCTCAGCTGAAATGACAGTATCTCAGTTTTTGTCCCAGTAACCTCCCTGTTGTCCAGAATTTGAGTAACTAAATCTGTCCAGAACCTAATAAGGGGCTACATTCAGCCTCATGCCTCTGTCAGGAAGAGTGTGTCCTCGCTTCAAGAATTCCATTTTTCTTTTAGAAAAATGAATCTTGCAGGATGTTTCTGTGATGGAACTTTTCCCTCATACTCTGGGCTTTTTGCATGCTCTTTCCTGACTCCCTGTTGAATAGGGCCTTCAAAAATGAGAAGGAATGTATAGGTTATCTAAGGAGAAGAAGTTAAAAGGCAGTATATAGTCTTCTGGACAGCCATTGATAGAATAATTGTCAGAAGGAGTGATGCAAGTTTAATTCCTCAAATTTTAAAATCACGTTTGACAAATACGGAATAATCTTGCAATCCATTGGTGGCAATAGCCTCATTTGTAAAGGTGAGGTCCTGGGCCACAGATAGGTTGATCAAAAGAGGGTTTTTTGTTCCCATCTCACAGAATACATCTTATGAAGCCTTGATGTATTGATACCTGGGCCTTGAGTTGCTTGGATGACTTCACCTGCAGATGTGAGGAAGCATTCACAGTCACAGATTAAGTGACCAGAAATAAGTGCGGAAGGAGTTTTGTGTCTGAGAAGTTTTGGCTTAAACTTTACCTACCAGCACAAAGAAATGATCATACAGACAGGAGTAGCATCTGTTTCTCTGGGATAATGTTTCCTTGCTTTTGCTGAGAGACTATCCTTCATACTCTGGCAGTTTCCTATCAGTTTGTGCAACAAGCAGCTCTTCTTCACCACGGGCCTGTGGCTGTCAGTGATAGTGAACCCTTCAGCATGTAAGCAAGTCTCTGCCATTTGATAACAGTGATCCATTGTGCTGGGTTCCCACCCTCTTGGTGTACTGACCACAAGAGAAAGATAAGAAATGTGTGGTCAGTGTGCTTCACAGTTCCTTTTTTTGCTAGAATTCCTTAGTAGACAAAATCGGTTCTGTGGAAGAGAGTTGTTTCTATCCAAACTTTGCAATGGTTGTTCACCCCAAAACCTACCCTTTTCTTCTTCAGCATACAGTTCTTCCCCTTCCTCTGTTTTCCTTTCTCCAGCTACTCAGGGCAATTTTCTTGCCTTTCTAGTTCCTTGGGTTCATAACCCATGTCATACTTCATGCATCATCCAGCCACTATTCATCTACCCTGTTTGAGCTCTTACTTTCTTAATTCCAGCTCCTTGTTAGTTCTGGCTATCCATTGTTTGGCTTCTATTTTATCTCTTTCGTTTTCCTTTCCCTCAGTGTCAGCCTGTGTGGTGAGTGTTAAGTGTTTGTTCAATTTGTGTTTGTCTGTGCACTCGGTTTCTTTGTGCCACATTAACCTCCAGTTCCTGGAAGGAGAAATTCCCTGGTGTGGTTCTACTCAAACTGTAAAGCCCATGAGAGACAGAATTGTTAACAAGTGTAGCTGCCAGTTCCAGATATCTTTCTTGAACATGTGCAAACTGAATTTTTTGCCAAAGCTTCCCCAAATGTAAAGATTCTTCTAGAGGACAAGAGGAGCACGTTTGCAGCATAAAGGACCCTCAGGCAAATGTTTGGCTTTTTCATCCAAAACAGTGGAGAACAGAACCATGCAGGTAAAAAGCTAAAGTAATGTGCTTTGGCACATAAAATGGTAAAATCTTTTCCACCCTCCCTTTCATTTTAAATCACATTCTTAAACAGCCCTAGCACCTCTACTGAAGTCTCTGATGGGAAGGAGATAGAGTAGAATGTTGCATGGTAGACATCTGACAAAGCTGTTGGCAGCTGAAAGCAAGAGCATAATTAATGAAAATATCACCTTCTCCTGGGCAACTGCATTTGTTATGTGTAGTGTAGGTAACATTCTGCTCAGAATTTTGAATTGTTTTTTACAATATTTGACAGTAAACAAGTAGATAGCTGTTGGCAGTTTCCATGACTTGTTTTAGCAATTTGTATTCATGTTTTCTTACTGCAGAAACTATTGTAATGATTTCTAGCATTTTTTTAATATATTGGCAGTGTAAACTAGCTAAACACTTGTGTGATAGTTACTGGTTTTGATAAGATTGTGCATTTAAGTTCAAAAATTAGTTTTTTCCTTGGTTAATTTGAGTATTAAAATTATATAAATTTCTTTAATACTGCTAACTCTTTTTTAGAGATTTTAAAATGAAAACATCCAAGCAAGCAAATGAATTCAGAATGGCCACTTACAAAAAGGATTTCAGTTTGGATAGTGAAACTTTGCCCTTAATTGAAATAGCTGTGTGTCAGAATTAAGGCTGTCTAGCACTAAAATAGATCTATATTTGCTTTCTTGTTGTGAGTCTATTAGAAATTTAGAAGTCTTTAGCTCTCAATATAAACTTTCCTTTAATAATTTCATAACAAAATCTACTTTTAAAGAATTTGTTTATTCTGAAGGGCTCTACTACTTGATTTTAAGAAGTCTTAAGTGTGACTTGTCTAAGATGATGCCACACTGCTTTAACATTGTTTCAGTAGATACATGTCTTGACTGGGACATAAAGATTGTGGTCAGTCTTTATACTGGACACTCATATTTTTTCCCTTTTCAACCTGAATAATTAGTTTGAAATGCTCTTGTTGTTGTTCAGGGACAATTTTAGTTATAGCTTACCCTGAACTGGAATTTACCCAGAACTGGGAAAAACCCTTTATTTAAAACTATTAATTTTTGCTTTGTATAGGCTTTTAAAGACATATTTCAGACAGCTGACATTTCACTTCCCTTAAGCAGCTCTCTGTGCTGTGTCTGTTACACAGACAGCAGCAGCCCCCATTGGAAGGTCCCTTTTGCTCTAACAGAGTACTTGAAAAGGACTTAGGAATAAAAGAGAATTGAATATGAGAGCTTGCATGCCTAATGTGCTTTCATATAGCAATTGAAAGATTGTATTGAAAGGTTTAGGGAGAATTTCTAATGCTTGTTTTGCTCTTTGACCTACTGGTTAACTTGTTTATTAACAAACATTTAATGAATGAGATGGAGCTCACTCATTAACAAGGAGTTTGTGGCTTGATCAGCAATAGGAAGTTACCATGTTGTGTAGGCTGAGCTGTAGAAATGCAGCCTAGTGACTGGTAAATATTAGTGAGCATTTGAGAGGTATGGTGGGGTGTGTCAGGTTCCTTCATCTTAGTCTGCATCTAGGTCCCTTCAAAAGGGAAAAATTACCAGAATATTTAGATAATCCCAGTGTTGTAAAGAACTGACCTAATTGGGTTATTTCTCAATTTTGTGCCATTAGTTATATTAGACTGCATGCATGTCACAAGTGGCATAGAGAAAATTCATATTATTCATTGTACAGCTTTGAGCTATAGAAATATCTTAGCAAGCAAAAAATATATTTATAGGAGATTTTCCTGACTTGTTTGTTCAGTAATCCTGGATGGTCATCTTACCTTTGGCTGACAGTAAACCATGAAGGACTTTGTGCCCTGAATGACTTTGTGTAGGTTTCTGATGCACTGCTCTTTGTGTTTTCTCAGTGTTTTTTGTTGTGGGGGTTTTTTATAAATTACTTTAAAATAGGTGAAGAGAAGAGTCTTTCCACTGCATCAGCAGCATTGCAGACTACAGTCATTTGGAAGAGCAAAGTCTAAAATTTTCTTAATTTTTTTGAAATGTGCATAGATCTGTGCTGTGTTTTCTCTCTCCATGCAGTCACATCAAAGTACTTGCCAAATGTGAATTAAAATATATTATTTTGAAATTTACTACCAAATATGTTTATACATTGAAATATAGCAAAACAGTTTTAGATAACAAATAGCTTTCGAACATTGGAAATAGCATTCAAATTAGGTTTACTCCTTGATGAATTCCTTGATTTTAATTTTTTTTGGCTGTGTTTTACTTTCAGCTGTATCCTCTAAGAAAATAATTGTACTTTCTAAGGAGAATCTTCTGACCATCTTCAAGTTAGATAGGCAGGGAGAGCATTTGAATTGGTAAACAAAAATTATTCACATGTAATGGATCTAAGGGCACATATGTGCAAGGCTAAGGCTTAAATATCTCCAACAAGTGGGTGCTCTAGGATACAGATTAGATGTTTTTGTGATGATTTGCACATGTTCCTTAATATGACTGTGTACACCCCAGTCACACTAATGCTCAGTTATGTTAGACTGCATGCAGTTGGGCATGGGGGGGAAGTGGTGTCCCAAACCCTGTCTGTTCTCAGCTGCTTGGTGAAAATTGAGGGTTTTGTTACTGCCCTTTGGTTTCCCCAGTGCAGTACATGGTTCCTTTCCTGCCACTTCCTTGTCACCATTTTCTTTTCACAGATCTGGTCTAATGCTGGATCTTCAAATGCCTGTTTTCCTGATACCACTCACTTGGCACCATTTTCTTTGCACAGAGACTCCCTAGCTCATATTCGCTGCACCAGTGGAGTGCCCAGGAGACAGAATCTACTGTTTCTTTGAGATAATTGGTAAAACAGGTGCCATCAAGGCATATGTTTCAGACTCTTCTCTTACTCCATGAATTTTATTTGTTTTGTGAAAATTAGTGTAGCTCATACTGTAGATCATTTTGCTTATGTTTGGTGCTCTGGCACTTTTCTGCTGCCTGAGAAGAAGGTGTAGATAAACTTGGAGGAAGCTAGCACAGCTATTTGCTGTTGGTAGGAGTGGCTTTATTTCAGCTTGAGATAGAAAATAATTGGTAATTAAAAGATAATATTGTAGAAGAAAAAAAGCTATTGCAATTTCAAGATTAGCAAGTGGTAGAATGCCTGTGGACTCCCCTTGGTGAGGAGATGGAGCATCATTCAGTTCAGTGGATTTGGTGTACTCATTGACACTGCCAGCTTGCTGGTTGTCTGTGCCAGCAAGCCTCTGTCTCCCAGGTCCGCAGGATAAATAGGAAATGGCAGATTCCTTTTTATAAGCCCATGTTACTTTCTCATTTTCTTGTCCAAAAGTAACTGCAACATCATGGACAGCTAGGGTCCAGCAAGTTCAGGGCTAAGGATATGTGATCTAAGAAGGCACATCTGTTTCTTCACTGCATTGCTTGTTTGGCTTAAGAGATTGTATCAGCTCCAGATACACAGTCAAATCAACATTTTTCCATCTTCTGTTTCTCCTCAGTGACCCAAGCACTCTTTCCTTTGTTAGTGTCAAGAGCCTACTGACTGCCACAACACACATACTCTTGAGGTGGCTGAGAGAACCCTAAATTCCAGGGATCCATTGATTCCTTTCACAGTATCAGAGCTTCAAGGTTTTTGGCTAGCCTAGAGACATACCAGCCTATCAACACTCTCCCATTTAGAGTTTTCACTGTGCAAATTTTGCAGTGAGAGGCTATGTTGTCAAAGATTTGCAAGCTTATTTGTGACAGAAATCAGTCAGTCAGATCTCTCAGGTGGTATTGTGTAGATATTTTCTTTTCATAGTGTGCTCTTGAGGAAAACTCAGAAACTGTATTTCATCTAAATTAAACAAAATGATGTATTTAACTTTTTGACTTAGGAAGAAGTGCACAGAGTCAAGGAGAGACAGTAGAAACGAAAGATTTATATACAGCACTCTCCTTGCTTTCTGATTATTCTTATAGCCAGCCATCTCTGTCCACAGCTGTCTTCTGATCCAGGCATCATTTTTCTCCTCTGTTTTTAAAGGGGAAGATGAAGATTATTTCCCAGTTCTCCCCATTCTTCAATATTCCAATGTAAGACATAAATATTTGTAATGTGTGTATATTTACCAGAGTAGTTACCTGCATGTTTTTCATCTATATGTTAGATTTCCTAACTTCTACAAGGAAAAGGGGAGATTTCTAGACAAATGGATTTATTTTTTTAGACATGAAATATACCTCTTCAGACTGCAAAGTTTCTTGCAATATGGTGCTCGAGTTCTACCTTTGATGAAGAGTTTAGTGTCCCAGTTCTCTAAATGTGGCTCATCTGTGTAAGTAATGCAGTTGTATTAGGGCTCTGTTGTTCTGGGTGTATTCAACACACAGACCCTTTTGGAACTCTTGAACTGTTTGTGTGTTGTTTAAAGATCAAAGTATTCAGCCATTTCTGAGTAGCAGTTCTCTAAATATGGGTAATGAGCTGTGGCAAAACTTGATGTGAAGCCTTAAAGATAGATTGTTCTTCTGTGAGTGCTACCAGAAGCAGCACAAGGAAGAGTTCACAGCCTGCAGCAGAGCTCCATCCAAACCTCTTCACCAAGCACTGTCATCTCTGACACTGTGAGGAGTGATGTGAAGTGATTTTCTGACATGGAGTTGCTTTGCAAGAGTACCAGTGATATATTTAACTACATGGAAATAACCACAGAGTGCATGTACTTGTGAGTTGTCACTCAGAAGGAGAGGTTAGTTTCCAGCTGATGTATGAATTCCATGTGCGTTCGTTCTCCTTACTTGCCCTTTGGGTTTTTGAAAATTGTATCTCTACCTGAGTTAAAAATGAAATGGGGCCATGCATGGCCTTGTATTCCAGTGTGCTGAGCATGAGGAACAGTAGGATTTGAGCCTAAGGGAACAAATTATCCAGTTTTAAGGAAGTGTCTGTACCTGTTGTGTGAATTTGCACACAGTCTAAACTTCTGAGAGGTAGAGGTAAGTACTCTCTTTCATGTAGAAGTTTCCCAGGAGGAATAAATAAGTAGAGGAATCCCAAAATGAAATTCTTTGGTTTCTTGTTAAAGAGCAGGTCAAATGGATAATGGCTTTAGTTGCATTTGACATTTAAAATGTAACTTTTGATTAGACATCTTTGCATCAGACAGCTGGAAAGATAATTCCGTCTGCCTAAAGGAATCTGTGGTAATATTGCCTGCAGGGAAGTGCTATTAAATGTATTAAATAAGTATTCCTAGATGAACAGTGCATTTTGAGTGCCAGTTGTTTGTGAAGGTTCTTTACTTTTATGATGAATTATCATGAAAAATCTTTGTTTTGGTTTAAGATCAAGCAAATTAAACTGTAGGCTATTAAGTCCCCAGTTTAAACAGTTACAGATTATAAGATGCTACAAATTGTCATTCTGACTGCTTTTATTTGCATCAGATATTATAGTGCTTGTGTGTAAATGAGGAAATTCAATAAATAAACTAAGCCTGTTGTCATATTCAGATTGGTGAATGGGGCAGATACTTTGGAGTAAGTATCTGATAAGCAGAAAGAAGCTTTAATGCTCATACTTCAAGGAAAGGCAATCCTATATGCCTGTAAAATCCTCCAAGAGGATTAAAATGTCCATGATTCACTTCATATGTGAAGATTTGAGCAGGTACCCATTTCATACCTCATTCTCACACCAGTGAACTCCTCTCCAGCAGATTGCCAAGCTGAGGCAGCAGCTGCAGCGCAGCAAGGCGAGCAGCCGGCACAGCAAAGAGAAGGAACGTCAGTCACCGCTCCATGGCAACCACATAGCACTCAGTCAGACTCAGGTAAGGGGAGCTCCTCACATCAACAGCCTCCCACCTCAGCAACCTTGGCTGAGCAGCCTGCTGAGCCTTCCCATCTATCCTGTGTTTGCTCTCTGGTGTGGCACATCAAATGCTTACAGGCTGATACTGCTGTGCCTTCACTGGACTTTATCTGATGGTCGTCATATAATAAAGGAAGGGTTGCACCATGATAGCAACTGAAATATATTATGATGCTGTAAAAGTTATGGGCATGGCCAGATAAGGCTGTGCTTCCAGGGATGCATACTTGCTTCCAAGACTAATTTTTTTTGTGGTAAACTTTCAAAGCTCCTCTGGAAGGCATTTACTTATCAGTTTTGCAACCTAATTCCATCTGGGCCAGTAAAAAAAAAAAGAAAAGAAAGAAAACAAAGTACCAAAGCAGGATGCAGTGGAGGATACCCAAAGCAGTCCTGATCTAGTCACTACAACCTGTCAGCAAAATTGAAACCCAGTTACAGTTCTAAAGCTCAGGTGAGGTTCAGCCAATATCTTTATAAATCTTAAGGCACTTGTAGAAAGCATTTAACCATGGCTTATTTGAGAGTGCAGATATTTGAGTCCTGATTAAATTTCACCTATAGTAGATCCTTAACTTGGACTCCCTGTTACTAACAGGCCACTCTCTGAACAGCTGAAGTGTTGTTTCTGTTGTGGTATTTCCTGAGTACCTTTTTAACTACCTGGTGTTCTGTAGCAGCTAGTTACTGCACCTGATTGAGCTGTGATGGCTGTTTCCTTACATTCCTTCTATGGGGATAAAATCTTGTGGTCAGATCCTAATGCAGGAAGACAATAGGAATTTGATGTTCTTCCTGGACCTGTTAGCCTTCATAACAAAGGATCCTACTACATTTGACATAGAAAAGGGTTTTGCTTTACATCTCAAAGTAAGCTGTTGCAAGTACCTGTGCCATTATGGTCACATAGCAGACAGTCTTTGACACAGATGAAACCCACCTAGGACATATGCTGTGGAGAAAGATTGTTTAGTACTTGGAGCTCACTTTGTCATTGCTCATGTGACATTTTGGTTTCTCAGGAAGATGTTCTCTGGTAAAGCCATTCTGCAGGCTGTGTGTTCTGGCAGCCAGAGAATGCTTGCAGGCAAATGACTTGCACCTTGGGAGCTGCACATTGTGCAAGATGCACTTGATAAGAACTCAAAAAATGCTTACATTTTGTCTTAAGCATCCTGTGATTCTGTGAGGAGGAGGAGGAGGAGAACAAGTTGATTGACACATGAGGCTGTTCATGGCTCTGTGTGTAGCTGCTGCCAAGGTGAAGCTTTTAAGGTTGAGTGTGCAAGACTCTGCAATCTCAGGAATGTTTCCTGTTGGTAACAGAGCTCCACTCAACAGCCTTTTCTGAAAATCATATTTGTGCTCACTTAGATGCTCTTTTCTTAAACTCAAGATGATTTCTCTTAAGACCTTTAACATAAAGTTCCGAAAAGGTATTAGCTAATAAAATTAAAGGTTCTGAATGAATGTTTTATTTTGCATTCACTAAAACCAATCAAAAGAGACTAAAAGTGCATTAGGTGAATATTTTGGTTGAGTCATTAAGCTTTAGGAATGTTATGAAAGGCCTTTTGGATCCCAGTTAGCATCAGGGCCCCATGCACTCCCCATCCCCCTGCAGTGTAAACCTTAGTCTGTGCCTCTGGAAAGTACATACACCTGTCTATTGACTACCAAGTGAAGTCATAGAGTGTTTTGGTTATACAACTCTTCTTTGACTTAAGGAGAGATGATTTTATTGGCTTTTGATTTATACAGGCATTTGTTTTTATTTAAATTCACCAAGTAAAGATGATCTTCTAAATGGCAAAATTAATACACACTTTCTTACTTAAGCTTTTAGTTTTGGTGTCAGATTTCTGCCTTTATTCTGTTTTCCATCTTTAAATCATGTTGCTGTCTGCCTTCTAGGCTTGTATTTCCAGATCTGTCCCTATGCCACTGTCAAGCATTTCAGTGCCAAAATCAACTGCTTCACGTGTGCCGTGTAATGTAGAAGGAATAAGCCCTGAACTGGAAAAAGTATTCATTAAGGAGAACAGTGGAAAAGAAGAGGTATCCAAGGTAAGCATATAGTAACATGTTTATGGTTGTTATCTCTTTGTAATCGGTAAACACAGGGAAAACCTTCCTCTTGAGGAACCTTCGTTGTGGCTGAAATTACAAATAATTTTCTTCAAAGAACTGTTTGTTTGAAAACTTTGTTTTGGTGTTTTAGCATGGTGGGTTTTTGTTTTTGAGTTTTCTTTTTTATTTTTAAAGGGCTTCTGGCCAAACCTACATTGTTAAGAATGCCCTTTCTGTAGAGAACTTGCAAGTTTTTGTGAGAGATAGAAGTGTTAGAACATTCAGACACTTCAGGCTGCAGTAATAAGTAATTAGAGATCAGGAGATTGTTATATTTGCTTCATTTTGCACTCTTTTTCTTGAGCAGGATGTAAGTTTCCAGCACTATGCTCTCCTTTTTGGTTTTAATGCTTTTTTTCCATAGACTGAATGTGGACCATTTTACTGCCATGAAACCTCTGTGATCTGTCATGGGAGATGTCTGTATGGAAAATACTGACAAATGGGGCAGCTTTGCTTTGGAGCATTGGACTTTTCATTGAGGAATTTGATGACACTGAAAATGTGGAATACTTGGTTTACAGCCACTGTTTCCTGAACAGCCAGTGAAAATTTTCTGCTGTGGAATAAAGTACTCCATGTTTTTTTCCTAATCTCCAAGTTGTAGGTGCTTTTCTCATGAATGGTCATATAACAGCAATTCAGTATACAAATCAAGCTATAAAACTTCCATCAGAGGCTTAAGATTCTGAAACTTTATATTTGCAGTTCTTCATATCAGTAGTAAACTTAAATTTTTTTGGAGTAGTCTTGGCTTCTCCAGACCCCTAGTTGTGTGGACAAAGCAGTCTTAAGAATGTTGTAGTAGTTCTATGCGAAGTTTTCTTTCCTAAGTCTGTCTTATGCCTTTAGAAGAGGTGTGTATTGTGCCAGGGGAATAAGGAAAAAAAACCAAACATGCAGCCTGAATGCCCAGCTCAACAAGCCTTGTTGCAGCATCTGCAAAGAGTAGAAAAAAGTGTGTATTGCAGTGCCACCATTGATGTTGCTATGGCTGGGGTTGTAATCTCCTGTAGTTGGAGGATATTTCATTTATCTATCAGACAAATCATCCTTGTAAATGTTGTCCTTGGGTTTTAACAGCTTCTTGCTTGGGATGCAGAGCTCTCCTGTGTTACTGAATGTACTGACTCTGATCCAGCAACCCAGTTAAGCACATACTTAAGTGCATTGTTGGATTTGGGCCAGAGGTGCTCGCAGTTTACGCAACCAAGGCAATCGTGAACCCTTCCTCCAAACATTCAGCTGGCAAGAGCTTCAGACACAAAAGAAAGTCATAAATCAGACCTTGCCCTTGAAGTCAAGTCCATCTTTGTGGGCAGAGGGTTGTTTCCTGCTATGTAACTGTTAATTTCTGTGAACTCTGGTCTTGTGGGACTCCTAGCACTGTCTGTGAGATTACAAGCTCTCAGTTTGGTTATAGAAGATCATAACAAGATCATAATTTACTTAAATCTTACTGCTGGTGAACTTTCTCCTAATACAGCAGTTTAGCCTGGGGGACTAGGGGCAGCTGGGTCAAAGGTTAGGAACCAGTGAACAAAAGATAAACCATAGGAAACCAAACTCTAGTGATCCTGTTCGTTTTTCTTTCAGTTTTCTGCCATTCTTTCTCGCTGTAACATTTTGTATTTTTAGAAACTCTTTTAAAAGCACAGTCAAAGATAGTTTGTTGCTTTGGAATATGTCTTCTGTCTTAACTCACACTGATTTAGTTCTGTTACTTCTCTGAAATGTTTAAAAAAAAATTTGTTTTAGCATCTTAATGATGGTTAAAATTGTAGTTATAAAAGCAAAAATAACCAAACCTCTCTTGTGTTGTTCAGTTATTTTTGTATTTCATAAAGATAGTTGAGGATTAGTAACGTCTTTGTGTCATTACAGTCAATAGGATTTTTAAAAGGTAAAGTTTAGAGAGATTGCATAGTGGTCAAAATACTCAAAAAATTTCATTCTTTGCAGTTTGGCCATAGCTGTATTTTTTCACATAATTAATCTTGCTTAATTAGCTGAAGGTATTCCCTTTTTGCTTTCATAAAATGAATTTGTCCTTTTTGAGCCACTTCTTCATCACCTCTTTCTCCTCAAATTTATTAATAAACTTCTAATTAATGTTCTAATGCATTTATTCAAAATTCTTGGATATATTTTCCTTCCTTCTTTTTATAACTTGCTGATTGACTCTCATAAGGTGTGATGGTGTGTCTCTGTTCTCACCATAACTTGTAAGATGGGATCAGTTTTTGTGAAGTTGTTGCACCTTTTGTTCTTTGTCCCATTGTAATTCCACAACACCATCATTGGAGACTCAGGTGCAAAAAGATGATGGGCTTTTTGTAGGGATTAGGGGATAAGAGGTGTTCCCTCTTTTGGAATACAGTAGTGGAAATTATGAAAAGTGCCCTGTAGCAGAACACAGAAACATTCATAGGCCTCCTGTTAGGAAAAACATTCTACTGGAACAAGTATACAGAAGTAATTAGAAATAAATAAATTTTGATGGATTATCAAGACAGTGCAAGTAAACTGATTACTGTGTTCCTTGTTTGATTTCTAATGCTTCTGGAAGGAGATGGCAAGGTGGTTTTATGTACCTGTCTGGAAACTTAATCCTTTAATAAAATGACTTCTTTTATTTTGCACAGATGCAGAGGATCCTTACTTAACTTCTCATAGCCTTCATCTGAAAATAATTTTTTTCCTAAGTGTTCCTTCCTAGGGTACATTATGGTTTTTGCACTTGCACCTTATAAAGTACATTGATGCTTCCCTGATGCCAGCAGGAAGAAGCACTTTCCTGTGTTGGCCTTTGTGTTCCAGTCTGGAGGAAAGTTTTTCAATCAATAGCATTGAATGCTTTGCTCTGAAGAAGTTGCCTCCTAAATAGATGTACAGCTTGTGAGGAGACTCCCATTGGTAATGCTCTTACAGACTGGTGGCATTCCTGATTCTTCTAAGTGGAGTGTTGTTGAGGTTTTTTCCAGCAAAAAGATTGATGCTGAAAACAAATTGGTGAATGGTAACAATGTATTGAGAAATGCATACGTGTTGTCAAATGCAGCTTTTTCCTGCCTTTGCTGGGAGATGAGAGCACTATGTGACTGTGTCCAAGAACACACATCCAGTAGGGATGGACAAATGTCCTGTCAGAATGCATTTGACATAAGGTTTGTACATGACATACTTGGAAAAAAACCCTCAAGAAATAGCACATAGAATGCAGTAATTTCTAGTTGTTTTCCATGCATTGGGCATTATGGGAAGTAATAGCAGCTGTACCAAATTAGTTACCCTCTTTCTTATCTTATAAGGTTGTGAGAACTTCAGTTTTAGAATAGTTCAGGCATGACTCATAGAAAGTAACTTCAAAAGTGTTTTTTTCCATTGATCAGGTTTGATATATAAAGTTTTTAACAAGCTAAATACTTCTAGTTGATGTTTTCATGGTGATTTTTCTACTTGTCAGCAATGAGGGAAAGATAAATACAAGAACACAGCAATCTAAGATTAACTGGCATTTTTTATGCCTAATAAATGTTACTGCACTTGTAAAGAATGATAAATATTTAGTATTTTCTGCTTGTGTGTATATTTAGATATGTGTTTAAAAATATGGATTATTTTTGTATCTCAGGCTTTAGTTCAGGGGAGATTGAAATATGTGATGTGGGATATACTTCTTGACTGCCTGAGACTACATTGTTCCTCCAGGTGTGGAAGAACATCTGTGTTATCCTGAAGTCTTTAATTATGTGATCACTTGCTGTTTCTTTCCCCTCCCTGGAATCCTTGTTTTACCTGTTGCATAGACCATAGTGTATGCCCTTAATGAGCAGCTGTTTGGTGTTTTTCCCTTCTCCTCCTTAGATTTGTGTCCTCGTGCTTACTGTTACACCTTGCTTTGAAGTCAGAAATGTGAATTTTTGCCTAAGATTTTGCTTCTTTATAATAGGAGCATGTCTGAAATTTTGTTCACTTTACATCACAGTTATGTGAGAAGAAAGATGGTATTATTTACACTTTATGAATGGGAAAACACAAATCCATCAGGGTTCTATAGTGTGGTTGTTCAGGTAACTCCGGATGTTGCATTCCATTTTAGAAGTTCAAAATCCTAAGTCTCTTGTAGCCTCCTTCTGCATCTGTTAATGCAGAGGACTTGCAAATCAGACCTGTATAAACTGGGCATCCAGAAGAGATACTATAGAAGACAGAGGTTGGTTTAGTTGATTCTCTGACATTTCACAGTATTTTTGTGGCAGAGAGAGAAATAAAAATGCTGTTTTGTTTGGCAGTTTTTTTGGTGGTTTTTTTTGGTGGGGTGTGGTTTTTTTTTTTTTTTGTGTGGTCTTTTTTTCTTTGTTGGTTTGGTTATGATAATTATGAGACTGCTTTCTTTCTGCAGCTTCAGTTTTGTTTTCTCTCTTCTGTCTGTGTAACAAATGCTACAGAGCTGCAGCTCTGTGCATTGAATGAGTCAGGGCCTGTTGGGGTGATGGGAATGGAGCACCAAGTCATGTTGTAACGCATATGCAGTGGGAGCTGAGCTGTTGGAACAGACCACACAGCTGTGCCCAGACCTTACAGCGTTTGATGGAGCAGCTGTAATGTTCCCTTAAGTGTGTTTCTTTGCTCTTACTTGAAATATGAAATGGTATTAACTGGAAGACTCATAAGAAGAAAATTATCTTCCTGCTCTGCTCTGTCTGCCTCTTTGTGTAATATGTGGTGGTTTTCTGGGTAGACTGTTGCTGAAAAAGGGAGAATGTGATATTCAGCCAATAGGTGTCATGTCCTTGTTGCTAGCAAAAGTGTTGGGTTGAATTTTAGGCTCTGGAACAAGCTGTTACAGTTTTGGAATATATGCGGAAGAGGGGCAATAAAATAAAAATGTTCACTTGAAGTGAGAAGGAAAAAGACATTAATTTTTTGTAGGTAGAACATTTAAGCTGTTCTTTATGGTTTGGAAACAGTTTTCACTGAAGCGAGAATAAAAATTTTTTAAATCTTCAGACATTTTTTCCCCTTTGCTTCTAAGCAAGACTCTAATTCCCACTTGGTTTCATACATTTAAAGCAGCACTGTCTTTATTAAAAAACTAATTTTCCATTTGGAAGGACAAATAAGTAGAGCATGCCAATCTACTGCTGTGAACATTTCTATGCAGTGTGTTGCAGAGTGGGATGCAGCATCACTGTGGCCAGTGCCAGCTAGGCTGACACAGGCAGGTAGAGCTTACTGGCTTTGGGTCAAGACAAAGCTTGTGAGCCTTGTTACAAAGCCTGCTTCATGTGTGCATCATCTGTAAAAGGATGGAATGTAGGGCTGTGCTGGAGAATTGCAACTTACTAGCAAAACTTGGATGGTTTCCTTTTATAATTGTAATTCGGTTGGTTGTTATGGCAATAGTATGCCATTGTGTTTGACATTTTCTACTTTCCCTTTTATCCAAATGTGATCTCTGTCGGGGTACTTGTTTTTGTATTATAATAGCAGTGACCTTTATTGAAAATTGTAGTACTACATATAATTAGTGAGGAAGGTTTGCTTTTTTAACTATCATAAAAACACAACACTGGCATGTGTTGAATTGTGGATGTTAACTTTGCATTGGAACATGTGCACGTTGCCCCAGTACTCCATATAATTAATGTATGTTATATCCATTGTACACTGCATTACTTTCTTATGTGAGATCTCCCTGTTCTCTCTAAAATGCCATGTTTGTTCTTCTTAGGGCCTTTGCTGATGGGTGCTGCAGGCTGACATTGCTGGTGAGTTTGATCTTTTCTGGGTAACTGCTTGTTTCTCTTGCAGCCTTTGGACATCCCCGACGGGCGGCGGGCGCCGTTGCCCGCTCACTACCGCAGCAGCAGCACGCGGAGCATCGACACGCAGACGCCCTCTGTGCAGGAGCGCAGCAGCAGCTGCAGCAGCCACTCACCCTGTGTCTCTCCCTTCTGCCCTCCTGAATCTCAGGATGGCAGCCCCTGTTCAACAGAAGATTTGCTCTATGACCGTGATAAAGGTGAGAGTAGAATGGCCTGCCTTTACCTATGGGAGGCGTGCGATGTCATGCTTTTACAACTACCTTCATTTTACTCATTACATCAGTTTTTGTTTTTGTTTGATGGTTGTGGAGGGATTGAGGATTTATCTGAAAATTGGTTTTGTTTGTTTACATATCTTTTTCCCTCTTGTTTGTGAAACTTCACAAACATCTTCCATAAATACGTCAGAGGAGCACAGCAAACAGTTACCTATTTCTGAAGATTCTAATGTGAAGAATTCAGACTCTAACATGTGTAACTTTAAGAAAGGTTTCAGGAAGGTTTGTGGTAGACTGTATATTTATTGTAGGTGAATTGCTTGCTGTTAAAAATGATGATGAAGTTTTGGACTGCTTTTAAAAGAACTCTGCTTCTGAACTCTTATATTCTACTAGGAGTTGTTTGATGAGGAGCTCAGATACCTGTTTGAACAGCCTGGTGGAGGGTAATTACTTCTCTGTGTATGCTGCAAAGCAGCTCAGAAATTCTGAATAATTTATGCATTTATCAATATCCTGCATTTTTTTCGAAGCCTGTAAAATGTTGTTTGGTTTTATAGTGGTAGTACAACTGGAGTTTCAGGAATTAAGAGTTATGGACAGACTATGGAGTATGAGTATACGGGCACCAGTGTAAAAAGGACTGTGGTTTTTTTGACAACTGTTTACTAATAAAATTACCCTTGTGCTTCTGGTCAGCTAGCTGAAACATGGACTCAGTATGGAGGATGTAGGATTTGGGTAAATCATGCAAGCTAAGAGGAGTAAGTTTCATATAGGAAATGAAAACTTCTAAGATTTAGCATATGTTTATTTACCAGTGGGCTAAAGATATCAGAGTTTTGAGGTTGTAAGTAAGGTTAAGTGCTTTTTTTGTAAATACTGTCTGTTTATTAAGAGTTAAAGTAATTTGGAACTAGGCTTGGGGAAGTCAACAGGAGAAACACTTTTCTTGATTTCTGAAAAGTATTTTTTTCCACAGCTTGGATTTAAAAGGAAATAGTGGAAAACTAATCCATCTGCCCAAATCCTGAACTGGGGGTGGGTGTGTGCAAGTTAACCACATTAAAGTAGAAGTCTTACCTCAAAATGAGAGTTGGCTATGCTCCAAAAATAAGTGTTTTTAGCTTGTCCCCACCATACTCCTCTTTCGTATACTATGCATGTGAATTTTAATATGTTGTTGAGACTGAATCACTATAGAAACATCTACTAAAGTATTAGCACAGAAAAAGCATCTTGACAGGTAAATTGGTTCATATATGTCCTGATAACAAATAAAAGTTAAAAAGCAAGGAAATGAATAATTCCTTTTGCAGTCAGTACTTCGTTATCACAGTAATGGGAATTTTCTCTGGTACATTATTGGCAGTAGTGAGTGAAGACAGTTTGAAATAGTGCATCTAGCCTTTTTAATGCTTTTCAAGGCTTTTTATCTCTTGCCTTGGATTTTTTGAACAGCTGAATCGAGTGAAATTTATGAATAGATCCTTATTTGTGGATTTTGGTTTTAAGACTGGCTTTAATGCTAGGCTTGCATCAAAAGTCTTCTCCAGGAGAAGTGTGTAGGTGATGATGATAAACAGCCAGTTTTTTAAGTCATCATGATGGCATTTTCAACTTGGTTAAAGTAAGGTACACAATACTGTGCGTATGAAAGATAAAACTTTGAACTTCTCATCAGAACTTAAGTTTTTAAGGGCAAGGTAAAAACTAGGAAAACATGTAGCAGTTTTCCAAGAGAGAGTAATTTCTTCAGAGGTTGCAGTAGTATAGTCAAAAAGGTGCTTTTTGCTCTCATATCATCTAGATACTACAGGCCAGTTGTTCTGAATTAGAGTATTGCTTCAAAATTAATAAATTATGGATAAATGAGGGATATGGCTGTAAATTACAACAGAATAGCAAGTTTGAGGGATGGTTTATTACATTTGTTGTGGCTGTTAACTGCTCTTTACAATAAAAACTTGGGAAGGTTTTCACACCTTCATTTTAAAAGCTTTTGTGAGCTAGAATAAAACCATCTCCTATTTTTTGTGAGGCCTGTTAAGTTTGAAAATATGCATTGTGTAACCAAATATAGATGTTTTGGTGACCTTTTCTTGTTACTTTTCTAAAAGCTTTGTTTTTCTCTTGATGAAAATAACTTGTATTTACCATTAAAAAGTGGAGTTACTGGTGTTACTGATGGTCATGGGGTGTGTTGCTGAATAGGAAAGGAAGGTTAGTTTGACTAAGAGACTAAGCAGTGAGAGGAGCCAATGTTCTGTACAGACACAGCACTGCTTTACATTCCTAAAGCATCTTTTACTTTTTGTGCAAAGCTGTGCTTTGGCCTGAGGCCCCCCCAGCTGCCTTTTGGACTCTATCAACTGGTGGGTTTACCTTTCTGCAAGAAGCTGTTAAATAATTGAATTTTTCAAAAGTGAGTGAAAGCTAATTTTCAGAAAAGGCTCACAGTATTGCTCTGGACAGAGCAGTGATACTACACAGTGTTGATTAGAGCAGACAAGGAAGGGTTGGGAAAGAATGTGTTTTCATGGCGCCTGGATTTTGTATTAAAATTCTGGTTTCACTAGAATCTGTTTTGTGAAACTGGTCCATGAAACTGTAATTCAGAGCCCCACATAGCATCCTCAGCAGCTGTGACAGAGGTGAAATTCAAAGACATCTGAAGGTATAAGCAGATGAAATCTGGAGGGGTTTCTTTGTACAAATAGAGATTGTATATCCTGTTTTTCAGGGACTTTGATTTAGGCAGCATTTAGGAGTCCCACTGTTGCTAGCAGGCTCTTCCAGGTAACATGCTTGTGAAGATGCTTGTTAAATTCTGGGCATCTGATCCATAGCTCTTTAAAGGAAAGTTGTTAGTGGAGTCTTAGGATAGTCTTATTAGTAATTTTTGAACCTATCAAAAATAATCCCAAGGCTCACTGGCTGTTCCTTGTTAAAGTACAGTCACTCAAAAAACTGCTCTACAGATTGTTTTTTAGTTACCCTCTTTTGTTGTTCTAATATGTGCAAGATATGATTTCCTGTATTAAGGTTAAAATAGTATCATTAGTGTTTGAATTACACTCTTAAAATGCTTTCTAGATAACAGAATATATGTGTTTTAAATTTGTGTCCAGAAGTTCGGCGTGATAAGCCTCCATATTGTCTGCTGTGCATTTGTAGCAAGGAAATTCCCTTTAAAGATTCCACAATCAGTCAGTGTCGATGGGATGGGATGGAATGGAGTGGAATGCTGTGGAATGGAATGCAATGGAGCGGGATGGGATGGGATGGGATGGAATGCAATGGAATACAGTGGAGCGGGATGGGATGGGTGGGCTGGGTCACGCCGGCAGGGCGCCCCCTGCTGGAGGGAGCCGAGGGCTCGGCCTTGTGGCCTGGGGGAGCAGCGAGCGCGCCCATCAAACCCGGGACAGCGCACATGGATGTGCCGTGCCGGCAGGGGTTAATGATGGGACAGTTCAGCGCTGCAGAGCCCACAGGATGCACAAGTGGATCTGGCTTAAGCTGTGAATGCCACCTCTTGCACTTAACTGGTGGCCTGTGCTCCCAGTCCCTTCTGCTCTCACCCAAGGCCCAGCTTGCATGTGCGAGTCTCCTCACAATTCTCCAACAGCGCGTGCCTTGCGTTTGGGCAAAATGAAAATCCAACAACTTCACAAGCTTTAAAAGCTGGGAGGGTAAAGAGAAATACTTGTTTAGCAGCTGTCTCACGTAGAAAGTTTCAGCCAGGCAGGGCTAACTAAACCAAAAACTTGATTGAAAGCTGAACTGGCTAGTAGACAAGACTCTTAAATCTTCCAAGAACTGACTTAACTTTGAATTCTGTTTGATTCTTCCCTTGGATGTACTGCCATGGTTTTCCACTATTCAGTGTAATGAACAGTAGTACATTTTATGTCTCTAATTTTTTAAATAGAAACTTGGATGTTCAATTTTAAATATTAGCAGGAGGAAACAAACTGTCTGGGTTCTGTTAATGATTTCTGTGTTTGGAATGAGTGGTGTGGGCCAACAGTGGAAAGATGCCAACAGGACCATCATGCTCCCAACTTGGCAAATATCTGTATCGTCTCTAAGCATTTTCTGCCTTCGTAGTTACCACCAAAAATTCTGTAAATAGAAGTTCTGTATTCACTCTACAGCAGGAAAGAGCTGAATAATCAATATGCTACTGAGGTTCACTTCAACATTATTTTTTATCTCGTATCTTGCATAATAAATCTTCAAAAGGAAGTGTGACATTTGAATCGATTTGTTTCTTCTTGTAAGAGGAAGCAGAAATGTTTCAAAACCTCTAATGATTAGCCTTAGTATTTGAGTCATGGTAATATAATAGTTTGTGTAGTTATCTTTGCAAGCTGTTAAAGACAAATCTCTCCACTTTGGTGAAGTTAGATTGTAGTGCTTTGGATAGCTGAAAAAGCAACACACATGCACAGCAGAGAAGTAAACAAAGGCTATAAACTTGAGTTAAAAATAATGTACCCCACATGAGTGGAAAGACTTGAAAAGGGCTAAAGCAAGAGTAGCTATTTCTCTCCAGTTAAGGTGTGTTTGTAAGTTGGTGGGTCCTCATTAATTTTGCTATTTCGTTTTTTAATTGAAATCCTAAGCAGGGAATGGGGAACCAATAATACTACCTTGGCAGAGGTGTTGCGCTTTGAAAAGGTAGAAGCAGCTGGAGAAAGCTAATTTTCTGTGGATAGCTATTTCTGTACCTACTTTATTTCCTTAATGCATTTACTATCATGTTGTTAGCAGGACTGTTTAAAGTGAACCCTTCCATAATCCAAAGATTTGAACCTTCTGTGCTTCTATCATTACCAGACTTGAGCCTTCTCTTATACTTTCTGAGAAGTACAAATAAATCTGCCCATTGCCTTTTGTCCTAGATCTTCTCACCTTTAATTCTAAGCGTGTCTGGCTAAAATACACACAGGCAGCTGGAGTTATGAAGAATACCTGTATTATATAGCAAGTAGTGATGAGAGAATTAAACTGTAGAAGTTTTATTCTAGATTCTAAAGCAACTTCACAACTGTGAAGCAAGTAAGATAAGACATTGTAATGATAAGGTAGCAGTACCTGTGTTACAAATGTGTTTTGTTTAGTTCTGACTTCTGAGCTGCTCATGAGGCTAATAAGGCAATATTCCAGTGAAGAATTATGTTTTAAAATAAGATACAAGCTGTATACACTGTTTATACAGTGAGAAGGTGTTTTATCATTACCACTCTTAATTCTTCTGCATGTATTATGCATATTACCTTGTTCATTTATGGGTTTTGAGCTATGCAATAAAGAATGTATTTGTTTCCAGGATCACAGCTCTGCTTTGTTCCAGTTGCAGTGTTCTGGATAAAAATATCCTCCTGTTATGTGTTGTTATACAATAGATTGCTGCTGCACCGAAGCTGTTACTCGGAAGAAATGTGCTATACAAGGGTGTTAGAAGTAGCCTGCAATAAAGGAAGCGTTGTGGTAGAAGCAAACCAGCGTAGTGGCTAAATTGTGAAAAAAGGCATCTTGTTTGGAAATCGAATTTAATTAAAAAGCACTCTCAATCTCTAGTAATATAACTGCTTTAAATTTTCAGACAGTGGGAGTAGCTCACCGTTGCCCAAGTATGCCTCATCTCCCAAACCAAACAACAGCTACATGTTCAAACGAGAGCCCCCAGAGGGATGTGAGCGAGTGAAGGTCTTTGAGGAAATGTCGTAAGTAATGCCTTTTATATCAGCTGGTATCTGCAAAGCAGTAAACCTGTTTACTGAGCCTATTCAACTGCAGATGAATAAACTATTCCAGCTGATGGGTTTTGCAGGAGCAAACTATTCTTATAGTTTGTGCAACAGAGAAGTTCAAGTGTTTACATTGGTGTGAAGAGAAAATGGAGTCTTTTACCTCTTTTTGTGTGTTTACAAAAGGCAACAAAAATCCAAGCAGGAAAGATAAGGTACATTAATTTCCTAAGCATTTATATAAACCTCTTTCCATGTATTTTTTAACATTTTAAATTTTCATGGCTTAAGCAAAAACTCCCCGTGTCATAATTACCCATTTCAAGCATAGGTCGCATTTTGATGTGTATAAAACATAGAAAATGGAATGAAACATACTAAAAGTCTTTGTAGATGGTAGTATGCTTATGGCATAGACTTTGCTCAATATTTTTGCTGAGCAAGAAATTGGAAATGAAACTCTTGGACATCATGTCTTTTTTCCCTGGACCCAGCAGTATTTGAGCACAGCACATGCTGTTGAGGTTGCATGCTAAGCTCCTGTGGATGAAAGAATTAAGGAGGGGATGTTTCTTGCTCTAGCAGCATTCGTTGCCTTCTGGGTGGTAAAGGGAGCAATGTTGGATTGTGGAAAAAGCCTCCAGACAAATTGTGGAATATGGGAAATGAGAGGTCTGTTTTGTGGAGGTCCTCAAAGGAATTTAAAATGACTAAATGTGTTGTTGCTGCATCGCTTATCAAAGAAGAATTTGTGCCATTCTGAATTAATCATGGCATTTTTTCATGTGCATATGTACTGCAGATTTTTCGTGCTGGAAGTTGCATGTTTGTCCAGTAATTACCAAGTCATTTTTTGTGATGGTACTATTTTTAATGCTGTGGATCAGTTAGCTGACTACCAATATGGAAGATGTTTGCCCCTTTGTCCAATTAATCCCATTCCTTGTCATTCACATTTTAGCAACGTATAGAACCACAAAGTTCACAATGTGAAGGGCATCTCAGCTGGCCAGATATATAATCTTTTTTCTCGTTGTAGGTCTCGTCAGCCTGTCTCAGCCCCTCTCTTTTCATGTCCTGACAAAAACAAGGTTAATTTCATCCCAACCGGATCAGCTTTCTGTCCTGTAAAACTCCTGGGCCCCCTCCTTCCCGCTTCAGACCTGACGCTGAAGAGCTCTCCCAACTCGGCTCAAAGCACAGCTCTGAGCACCCTCACTGTTGAGCAGCTTTCGTCCCGGGTCTCTTTCTCATCTCTGTCAGATGACACCAGCACAATGGACTCCCCAGAGACCCCGGTACAGCCGTGCCAGCAGCAGCAGCCGCTCCTGCAGGAGATTCAGACTGAAGAGCATTCCTCTCCTCAGAGCTACGTGTTGATCTAGAGCAAGGTGGAGCAGGCCTCTGCCCCAGACAAGGAGGGAGGAGATCCTAGTTCAGATACATCTGCATGAGGTGGCAACCTTTCAGAACACCACAGAATACTTAGCAGCATTCAACAAATATCTCAACATTGTTCTTGGCAGGGACAGAATCCATATTTGGCATTTTTTTTGTGAGAAAGCAGTAATGCCTGCAGAATCCATATTACATGAAATGTTTCAAGTGGAGACTATGCATTTCATAGTACGTTTGACCAGATTAGTACTGTGTCCTGTGTTCTGTTTCAAATTCTACAGTATAAATAAGCTCTCTCTATATATAAAAAAATGTTGCCTGTCTGAATAGAAAATGTCTTGCTGTGTTGTGTCCTATGGAAAATACTGTACTTCAGGATTATGTTTACAATTGATCCAGGTGTTTATGTTTCTAACTTCTGTAATACACACAATGCAAAAAAAAAAAAAAAATGGCCACAGCAGTTGCACAGTGCCCACCCTATGGCCTAGCTTCAGGTACTTCTCTTGAAGTGTAAACTCAGGTAACTTGGAATGTATATCATATTGGAATATAAAATATTTTACAGCTACAAAGCTAAAGAGGGAACATCACTCTTTTGCCTTTCCTTGTTTTATGCATTATATTTCCTCATTACATTCCACTTTCTTGGAATAAGTGCATTCAGATCCAGGTGAATGATGACCCTGGACATGGGTGAACATGAGGAGAACCAGCAAATCTGTGATGTATATCACTTTGTCATGTGCTTACAAGTAAAACAGCTGTTGCATTTACTGTCATTTCAATAGATGTAAAATTGTGGCATTGAAAGGTTTCAGGTGTTGCTCAGTTAATGACTGTTAAACTGTTGCAAATAAAGTGTTCAGTACTAGGCTGTACATGAGAAACATTCCACATTGTGTGTGAGAGGATTTTGAAAGACAAGAATGTTTTTGTTAAAGGACAGAAATTCTTTTAGGTTTCACGGGGGGGTGTGGGGGGGTGATTGGGGATTTCCTCTCATGGTTTTTGTTGGCAGTTAAGGATGTGAAATGCTACTGTTACCGTCTAAAAGTCAAATTAATGTTTAGTTTCTCTTTTGGAAATGTTCATTCATTTGCTGGTTGGAAATAGGTTTTCAGATTTTGTTGAGCAGTGTTAGGTGAGCGGCGTTTTATTTATGTAGTGAGTAATTGTGTTTGGATGAAAGTCCAGAAGTAGTAAGTGGGTGTTCTAAGAGGGGTGGGGAAAACAATAGTTTTAAGTTCATGTTACTTAAAGCTTCTCCCATAACTTTCAGTTACTTAAGCTGTGTGTGTAAAAGTGTGTTTCCCCCCCCCCCCCTCCTTAAGTGTAAATAAAAGAAAAATCCATGTAAAATAATCCTGGTTTTGCAGGCTGGACACTGTCTCAAAATAGTACATGGCAAGATTGGGTTTGTGACACTCTTCTATTGTGCTAGAAAAAGAGGAGCATTGCTTTCAGAGATAATTTCCTGTGATACCAAGAGGACCCCAAAGGCAAAATAAACTTGATGTTCTTGCTCCATTGCTTTCAGCTCAGTGGAACTGCGTGTATGCTGTCTGCTCCTAAGAGAATAAGGTTCACCATTTCCAGGAATTGAAGAGATTAGTGGCCTGCAGCTACTAGGAGCATTTAAACATGCTCTTTTATGTTTTCTTCTGCTTTGGAAGATGAGATTGGAGGGGGATGAGAGTGAGCCACCAGTAACTAGTCACTAGATATGTGCTTTTTTTGGAGATACAGCATTGCTTCCTTTTTATTACTGAGTTTTTGTTAACGCTGTCTTACAAGGTGGAATTCGCAGCCTATAAAACATCCACTGTTTTTGGACTCCCCTTGCAGAAAACATAGGAGAGAGGTCTGTCTCTAACCATTTTCATGTGAAAAAGCTTATTGAAACACAGCAGCCATCTTTAACCCTACTAATCTCAGGCCTAGGTGAAAACACTATATATTTTATAGACTGAAGATAAAGGGGAGGAAATACTCGTGATGTAAGTATCGATTCCTTTTAATATTTTTCTTTCTAGACTAACATTGCAGTATGATGACCTTTTTATGCTCTGGCTATGTCCAGATATGAAATTGTAGTCTCAGTTATTGGTGTTAGGTTACCAGGGGATATGATGAGTGGTTTTTAGATCAGTGCTGAACTCTGTACAGTATTTGCAATGCCATTACATGTTCTTTATATTTTTTCCATGAGAAACTAAATATTAATTAAAATGCACATTTGTTCTTAGCAGAATTGAAGATTTTGAACCAAATGTGTTAAAGCGAATGCTTTGCCATGTAAATTTCCCAGCAGTTGTTTATCTCAATTGTATTCTACATTCAGCTGTAGAAATTTGTCAAATATTGTTTAAAGTTTTGTACATAGTTGTACTGTTATTTCTAGCCACTGTGCTGAACAGTATTCAAGTTATCACACAATATTGCTTTACACAAGGAAATGTGTGGCTTTTGTTTTGTATTTTTTTTTGGTATAGAAGTTCCTGTGTCTTATTTAAATAAAAATTATAGTTAAAAAAAAAAAAAGTGGTGGGGGCAACACACAGAAGCAGTGGTTCATTTCTTTGTTTTTGTAAACTGTACATAGAACACCATAGAAGGAGATTAAATTTTAATATTGTTCCAAATTTACATCTAGAATAATGCCAACCATGTATGACTAGTGTGCTGTGTCTTCTAGAACAAGATAATCTTTTATCTATTGATTTTTACATAATACTGTACTCAGGAGTGGGGAAAACCCCTTAAAATAGCTGAATGTTTAAATATACTTTAAATAGCGTACTCTATTTCAACATAGCACAGGAAAAAAAATCAGTTAAGAGTTGTTTGAAACTGTGTATCTGCTGCTGTGTTTGTGGTATGGCTAATTTCAAGTTATCTGTTGAAAATTATGAAAGCCATTAGATGTTTCACTATGTGAAACTAAACTAAACTCCTAAAGGATGTGGTATAAATCTACTGACAGTCTTGGTTTCATGTTGTTTTGTATGACTCAAATGATTGTCATTCGAGTTGCAGAATAATTCTTTCCAGATGGGGATGGAGGGTAAGGAGGAAGAAAGAAGGATAATATTTAAATACATGTAAATCCTCCAAAGTCAGTGTTTACTGAAGAGTACTATGGCAATAACCATCAAGAACAGATTAATGCTTATTGTCGTCAGTCAGTGGAAATTTTAAGTTTTCAGCATCCTAAAGATTACAAAGTTTTTATGTGACTGTGTTAAAAACGTTAACTGGAACTTAACTAAAAGCCCAGGGCCAGAAGCTGGACTTGAATGACCCTTGTGGGTCCCTTCCAACATAGGATATTCTGTGGTTCTGTGATCCCACCCACCTATGGGAATGCTTGGTGTCCTTCAGTCAGAAATGGCTTCATTTCAGCCTTTTCAATATCAGCTTGAAGGGGTTCCTAGGAGTAATTTTGTGACCACCCTGTCCCCTAAATGGATTTGGCTGCAGCAGTTTCAGGCTGTCCTTGGGTGGGAGGGTGTTTTCTCAGGAAATACTTTGACAAAAGCCTGTAGCTTGCCCTGCAGAGATGTGATGCAGTTTGTGTCCCATGAACCTAGGCCTTGCCTGGTTAGTCACATTTTGGATTTTTTTCCATATGAGCCACACTTTGTGGGCTGTGTGTAACTCACTGCCTCTGTCTTCCCCAAAGCCAAAACAAGGAGTCTGAAAAGCACTGAGAGTAGAGAGCTAATGAAAAAATTTTGCTTTGAGTCCCTGTTTTGTGAATATAAGATCTTAGCTTGAGCATATTTTTCTAGTAATTTGTGGCTCTGGCAGTGAATGCTTCAGAGGCTGGAGGTCTGTGTAAGGAGAGCCCTTGGCTGTGTGTGCTGGGGTAGGGGACTACAGATAGTGAGTGACCTGCTGCTTTTAGGAAACAGGGTGCTGTCTGGGAAGTGATTTCTGGCTTCCTGATAAATTAGCTCTTGGGAAGGGCCAGGTACTGGCACAAGGATAGAATCTCAGAATCTTCACAGTATGCAAGTGTAAGGAGTAACACAAACAAGAGAAATGGTGATGTCAGCCAACATCTCTTAATTTATTCAGTTGTAAGCAAACACCATGGAGGCTTAGCAAAACCAGCTCCTCCTACCCTGGCCTTCCTCCAGGGTACTGGATTGGGACCTTCAGACATTACTTGAGGTACAAGCCAAGCAGTTTGGAGATGACAGATAACTAGTAGAAGTTTACACCAATTACTGTTGTAAAACAGCCTGCCTTGCTATGCAAAACACAGCCATAAAAACACAGATTTGAGGTAACTCAGCTCAGGGAAGAAATAGCCAAAGTTCCTACTGTGTATGTCCAGAACCTAAATGCAAGGAAAAAGTGAATTAAAGCTGGGAAAGTACACACATTACATGTACAGTCATCCATACTTGGTACTTGGCTGAAGGAAGTTTGATGAAAGAGTGACATGCAGTTAAAATATGTGTATCTTGTTTCTGTTTGCATTAATGTAAACAGTCCTGGAAAACGCTGGTCTGGGAGAGACTGTAAAAGGCTCAGGAAGAGCTATAGGAATAAAGTACTGGAAAAACTAGAAGGTGGCTGTGTAGGAGCTCAACATGATTAACTTGATGGTTGAAGAGTGACTTAATTTCAGTTAGTAAATACCTACACATAGGAAATACTAATGAGCTTAAAGTTTAGCAGACATGGAATATTAAGCAGTAAGAAAATGAAGGTAGATGACTTAATATTAAAAATGTGGATTTGTTTTGGCACTAAGTATAATTAATTATTGGACCAATGTGCAAGGATTTTTTTCCCCAAGTATTGATATGTTTAAAATGAAATGATTTTACAAAGGATGTGTTCAAATATGGTTTTTATAAGCCTTACTAACTTGCGATTATTTGGGGCATTTTACATTTCAATTGATGGTTAAGAGGTGAAATTTTTTTAACTACCCTTGTAATTGTTGCCTCACTAAAGAAGCACATGCTGCAATATTTTCAGCTAGGGTGTTAACACATCTTTTAAACTGTCTGGAATAGGGTTTTGAGGGTAACTTTTGGCTTCTGGGAATTTTTGGTCTGTCAAACACGAATGAGGTCTCCAGTAAAGTAGATGTAGTTGAGTAGCTTTATTAGTTCTTTTGATTTTGACACCTCCTCTATAGCAGCATAATTATGGAGAGATGGTAAGAAACTGGAGAGTAGGAGTTGTCTTTTTGGAGGGTAACAGGTCCCAGAAAGAATTTTCAAGTGTTACTCAAGTGGGGCTGAGAGGAGGTAGGGAGTTCCCTCAGTAAAGGCCACATTGGAAATGAGTGAACATATAAGTCAAACTGCAAATTCAGTTGATGACAAGAAAGAAGAGCAATTAGATGAAGCTGGATAGAGAGCTGACCCCATTTTTAAGAATAGTTGAAATTTTATCTGAGGTTATAAGAAGTTCTGATGGGAAATTTTTAGGCTGCCTTGATCTGTAGCCTGGAAAGCTCAGAGGCAGAGGAACTGGAAGTCTGGGAGAAGGTTGTGTAATCTCTTCCCCCCCTTGAATTAGAGACTGAGCTTCACAAGAAAGCACAGTTAGGCTAATAACTGCCTGTAGAAAAGTAAGGGGGTGTATGTGTGAGATTTATTTTTGTGTATGTGCATAGTGAAGTGTGTGTGGTTAAACTTTTCAGTGCTTTTTTGCAGCTGTTGGTTGAAAATAGGGTTTGCTCAGGGCAGTAGTAATACCCATGGTAATCTATTTCTTGTACCTTTGTTTTTAATTTTTACTTCTGCAAATAAGTAGTAAGTAGTATCATCTAACACAACAGGTGTTAACTAAAACTGGGTGTCCACCTGCTTTCTGCAGGTAAGATCTGAGTGCTCTGAGATTTTTATGGACAGAGGTTCTTTCTGCAAGGAGGACAAAGCTGAAAGAGACTTTCTGTTAAAGATTGTTGCCAAAAGTCTGGCTGATGCAATTACTCCTGTTCTGAGTTTTATTTGGATAAGAATTTCTAGATGTACCCTATCTTTGTGATGCAGAGGTTTCTCAGAGAGTAGCAGCTTCCCTTTCCATAAGGTTGGTGCTATCCTTGGGCTTGTTACATAGGGAAGTAAGAACTCATTCTTGTGAAAGATTTAAAGAGGGTGTTGCCTTTGGAAACTAAATACTGTTATTAGGAAATGGGAGGTGGTGGGGACAAGCACTTAAATCTGCTTTTGTGATTCCTTTGGATTCTAGTTCATTGTACATCCTGAGAATGCTGAGATCCATTCATTTTGATGTCAGTTGGTGAAAATATAGGAAGGTTCAGATGTAGCTTTCCATCTCTGTGACAGCACTGAGATGGTACCATACTACCTACTTTCACTGCATGGTTATATTTTGGATGGGGCACGCAGGTGTATTTTAAGGATTGTCACTTCATTCAGGGGCTCTTGTTCATGAAATGAGTTTGGGTACAATGGTGGATCTGGTTTTGGTTCTAGTGGAGAATTCCAAGGAGATTGTTTAAACACCTCCTGAATTGAGTACCTAAGAAATCTGTTCTCTTCTAGGGAGGATTTTCTGGTTTTCCTCTTCTGCAGGGGAATACTAAACCTTTGGGGGTAGGAGAGTGATGAAGATGGGAGCAGTAGGTCTTGCACTTTCTAAACAATGGGGAAGCAAAGACAGCCTAGGTCCCTGATATGGAGGGCAACCTTGTATATCTGTATTGATACATACAGGATGTTCCTTGGGTTAGGAACACAGCAGATGCCTTAATACTCCAGAGGAGTATTAGCCTGGATAAATGTCATTTGTTCTATAAATCAGGCCATCTGTAGATTGCAATCTGTCCCTTTGGTTGCATCCTGGCTGAAAGGCTGTGAATGCTGCTCTGTATCATGACTTGCCTTTATATTCAGTAAGTGAGAAAATATACCTCCAATATACCTCCAGACTGGACAAGAAACTGGTACCTCTGTCAGGAACATCATTGCCTGAGTCATGATAAGACTGGCCCCAAGCTACTTGATGCTGTCGTGCCTCAGGGGTTTGTTTGTTTTGGTTTTTTTTTTTTTTTTTTTTTCCTGATAGGCCCTGGTGCAGAAACTTAAGCACCTTGATGGAGTTTTAGAGATTGCTGATGGTGTGTATATTGGATTAATCTTCCCTGAAGAAAGACACTTCATTTTG